ATCCAAGCTTGCCATCAAACATCTCGCCGCGCTCGTCATCCCACCGGGGCCTGGCGACAGCAACGAGGAACATAACTTTCGTTATGAACCGTTTGCTCTTGGTCGTCTGGTGGGGAGGCTCTTCATCGTGCCACACGTAGAACTTCGTCTTGGTTCGCCTCAGATAGAACCATTTTTCGTCGACGTGTATATTGTCGTACATGTCTACGAAACTCATGCCGCCATCCGGGTCATTGGTCATGAACGACCTTGCAAACGCTACGCGTTCGTCTTTGTTGGCGTCCGTCAGTAGAGGGCTAAGAGAACTACTCACACATTTTAGCATGTTGGGCAACTTCTGGTCCAACAAGTGTGGAAAGAGTTCGTCGAAAAGGGCTCCACCACGACCAAGCCCCAAGCCCCCCGCGACATGTCTCTCCGAACAAGACTCCCCGTCACGTCGGACCAATTCGATACAGAGTCGCAATCGTCAACGCAAGCTGCCTACCGGTCAACCCAGAGGGTCCTGGCAAAACTTGGGTACAAGAGGGGAAAGAAGAAGCGAGGTCTAGGCCTTCGCATGTGCGAAGCTAATATTCAGCATCGTGATATATATGTTTCTGATATGTGTGATATATTGTCGGGCGATGTCAACCGACGGCCTGTTATATATATGGATGAGAGTTATATTCATCACCATTATAGTCGGCATGATGATTCATTATATGATCCGAGTGATGACCTTGATCTTGAAGTCAAAGAAAAACACAAAGGTGAAAGATTTTGTTTTATTGCTGCCATTTTAGATAGTGGTTGTTTGGATAGCAAGCTCTTATGCTTGGATGTATTTCAAGGTGGAAAACGAACTGGTAAACCTGAAACCAAGGATTATCACGGAATGTTCGACCATGCATATTTTGTCAGTTGGTTTTCCAAACTTCTTGTCGAAATAGAAGATCTTGGGTTACAAAATGCTGTTATAGTAATGGACAATGCAAAATACCATAAAGGGCTTCCTCCGGATACACCGAAGTATGGAAATAAGAAGAGTGTCCTACAGGATGCTTGCACGGCGTACGGCATTTCTTTCACAAATGAAACGAAAGCTGCATTGTGAAAAAAGCTAAGTGTGCATGTGAGCAAGATTGACATCGAGGTTGTATCCTTGGCACGTGCCGCAGGGCATGAGGTTGTTTACACACCGCCTTACCACAGTGACCTTCAACCAATTGAGATTGTTTGGGCCATCGTAAAGTGCCAAGTACAGTGATCTTTACTATGCATATTATGCTAATGTTGTGCAGGTTGGACGTCAGTACACACAAGAAACCACGTTTAAAGACGTCCGCGTGCGGCTCATGAAGGCATTCGAGGACTTGATTCCAAGCAGCATCAAGGGCTGCATACACAAGGTCGACAGGCAACTCAACAAGCTTGCGGCGTACATCAAAGAGCAACACGAAGGCGATGCGAGTGATAACGACAGCGACCGCAGCGATGGTACCAACGGCGGCAGCAGCGACGGCAGCGACAGCAGCAGCAGTAACGACTCAAGTAGTTCAGAAACAGTGATGTAATAAATTTACTCTCTTTTCATTGGTCGAACGTTAACATGCAGCCGAGGCGTTGGAAATTCAAAAAAACACTGTGTATTGATATTTTTTTGGCAGGCCCCCTCGAAGCTGTCGACTACTGTGAATTGCAAATCAGTGGCAACTTTCCGCGGTCAAATTCGTGTTGGCGCGCGCGAGATACTGCACTTTCAGGATTTGCCACCACTCTGAATTGGAAATAAGTATAGGACATTCAAGCTCAACGGCCTCCAGAATGCAAACAAGCAATCAATCTATCCTCCAAGATCACACAGACATCCGTTTTCTTAGCCACATGCCTCGAGATAACCATCTCCATGAGGAAGAGAAGATCACAATTCTACACCTTGTAGCGACTGGAAACTCGATTGAAGACATCCGTGAATACACTGGGCGCTCCAGGAACGTCATATCAAAGTTCCTAAGGCGTTCTAATGCTTACGGCAAAGCCAAACGCCAAGGAAGATCCGCAAAATTGTCTTCTAGAGACAAGCGACAACTGTTTTGTCACGCGCTCAGTAGCAAATTCAGCTCTCGCGAGCTGACCAACACGCTGCAGTTGTCCGTGACCCCTCAGTGCTTTCGCCAGAATCTTTTGAGCCATCCAAACCTTCGCAACGTCAAGCGCCAGGCCACACCGCATCCAAGCTTGCCATCAAACATCTCGCCGCGCTCGTCATCCCACCGGGGCCTGGCGACAGCAACGAGGAACATAACTTTCGTTATGAACCGTTTGCTCTTGGTCGTCTGGTGGGGAGGCTCTTCATCGTGCCACACGTAGAACTTCGTCTTGGTTCGCCTCAGATAGAACCATTTTTCGTCGACGTGTATATTGTCGTACATGTCTACGAAACTCATGCCGCCATCCGGGTCATTGGTCATGAACGACCTTGCAAACGCTACGCGTTCGTCTTTGTTGGCGTCCGTCAGTAGAGGGCTAAGAGAACTACTCACACATTTTAGCATGTTGGGCAACTTTAAGTACACTGAGAGTGTTGATCTTGGTATGCCAGTACACACTTCTAAGCTTCGTAGTGTTTGACGTTTCTCAAATGGAGCTGCTTTGACAGCACGCTCAATATTTTCGATGTCGTGTTTCATCTTCTTGCCACATTGACCTAATGTAAGGAGTATCTGTCAGATTTAATACACACAATTTACTTTGTCAAAAAATATCCTGCATTTTTTTATAATACCTGACATTCTACTGGAGACATCGGCAAGTGCAGTCCGACCGCGCTTCCATATACGGCTGATTGTCTCGGTAGAAACGCCAAAGTGCTGAGCTGTCAATGACATAGAACCGTGCTTCAGCTAGAACCATGTCGTACGCTGCATGTCGCTCGTCGTTGGTCAGGTTTCGGTAGTTGAAGGTTGATCGAACGCCGATACAGGGTACTTTGTGAGAAGCAGGCAGTTGCGTTGGATCCATAGTATGGTTGGGCACACGAATCACGACTCGAACGAATTCAAAAATGACGAGAAGTGTCGATGTTGAGGTTAGAATCGTTGGACGTGATGCATTTTTGCTCGAATCTCAAAATCTACACCACCAAATTCAAATCGAATTATACCCAATCAAAGTGTATTGTTTGCTCTTTCTTTTAAGCCAATCAGAACGCAAATCCGTGAAATATTGAGCTTAATCCATGGTTTTTAGTGAAATCCAACAATTCTTCCTGGAAAGAGAAGTAGTTGACTTACAGCTTGTACGGATATGTAGAATTGAAGTTAATGCCGCACATGTAGGTTGTTCGCCAGACTCTGCCGGTGTCGAAACAGGTTTTCGTTTTGGCGTCAGCCCAATACCCTGCGTGCTGGACCTCTAAAGCAAAAAAGAAGACGCACATGTAGGACTAGTCATATTTCTTCAACGTAACATGTGTGTGTGTGTTCTAGAACTTATATGCTTGCAGCTTGGTTGGTGTTACGGTCCGTGCAACTCCGTTTATTGTGACCATACTCTTTGCACGACGAGCACCGCTTGCGATAGTGGTGTGATGTTTCATGTTCACCAGCACTGGCAATCCTCCGGGATACTGCGGGGCCTGGGCGGCTTGGTCGTTCTCTTGGAGGAAGCAAATTTATATCCGGGATACTGTGGGGCCTGGGCAGCTTGGTCGTTCTCTTGGAGGAAGCAAATTTGTATTCGTATAGTTCCTCTTCAATCGGAGGAAGCACAAATGCGCCATCGAATACGGAGGCGTACACACTGACCAGGTATACGTCGTCGAAGGAGTCAAATATTCTCGCGGCGGTACCGGCAGCCAGCATGGACGCGATGAAGTGGCGGCAGGGAATTCCGTTCTGGTCCATGAAAGCACAGCTGCACTCCCGGTTCGATACAACAACGCGTTTTTTGAACTTTGGCAGTCGCGTGGTTGAATAAACGTGGAAAATGTCATCGCTGACTGGCTCCGTAGCGTAGTGTCCAGCCAGCTGGAGTTGTTGGTCGTATGCTTTCAAGGCACCAGGTGTCACTTTCCTGTCTTCTGCGATCCATTTCTTCGCTCGGTTACTCTTCTTTTTGAAGTCGTGGCGCATGAAGTCCACAAAAGCAGACACGAATGGAAACGGCAGCGAGTATCGAATGTTGTTCATGAGGGAGGTACTGTGCTCGTTCTCCACGAAGTTCGTCGTACTCCACCCATATAACATCGCTGTCTTGATGTTTGGGTAGATAACCCGCTTGACTGGATCGATGTTTGCCACGTACGCTTGCACTTGTTCCCCGCAGGCAACAGCGAGGTCTGCCAGTCCGGCCGTGTACTGAATTTCTTGCAACGCGCCTTGACTTTCCCAGATGAGGTTGTGGTGTTCTTGACGAAAGAGTTTTCCAAACTTGCTTGTCACGTTGCAGATGATGTGGAGCGTACAAAACTTGAGCTCAATACCCACAGCGCGTGCAACAGCAATAATCCCGAAACCCAGGTCAGACATATGGTACGGTAGTCAGCACAACTCCGCAGTCAATGCAAAACCGGAAGAACCAGCTGCAATGGCCCTCACTCTCGCTTGGGACTAAAGCACACGCCAGCCTTACGTTGTTCATGTTTCCGTCTCGGCCAACAAGAACCAAATGGATTCCGTTGTACAACTTGTTCTTGCAATGAGCGCTGTCGAAGCCCAAGATTTTCTGCATTCCGGCTTGAGCGACAATGGAAGCACCGAATGCAACAGCTCAACGGACGAAGTGCCCGTCGACGTCGCTCTCACACTTGCTTGCGCTGCGAGGGTTGAGAGAACCACAAATTGCTCCAGAAATGCTGGAAGGACGTCTGCTCGCTCTTGTCCAGGAAGTCTTGGACAAGTTGCTTTGCTCGGTAAACCATACGGGCTCTGTTTACCACATTTAAGGATGCAGGACCTGTACTTGGGTCTGAAGGAACGAGGCGTCAACACGACGGCTCGCGTGTACAGCACATATGACGCTCGGTAGCTGCGCAATTTGTCGAGCTGATGGCTTTCCAACAGATGTACAGTCAACGTGCTCAGCATTTACTGAGGAGATGTACCACGGTTGTGGAAATTCACCCGCCGTCCTTGTTGACTTCTTGTACGCCTTGACTTGAAACGGGCACCCACTTATTGTTTCCACCACGTAGACTTACAGTGACATGCATGTTGGCTCGCAGTGCTGACTCTCGCACGTACGCGACGAAGTCCTTGCCTGACTGGAATGTCATTCCCACAGTCAACGCGTGTTGCGTGTTGACTTCGCTGTTCCCTTCGTCTGGTCGACGGCCTTCCATTACGACGGTTGATTTAGCCGAATTGTATTTGCATCATTCAATCAACGTTAAACTATTACTTCAAGTAATAAACTGTAAGTATGCATTTTATTAAGTGCGTACTCACATATTGTCGTAGTTTTCACATTATGTCGAAGTTTTTGGGGAGATACTCACATATTGTCGATTACCCTCATTTTCTGATACTAGTATAAAGGTGACCAACTATGCAAGATAATATATACGGCCCAAGGGTGTATATCTTGTACTACGTCGTATATTTTGTGCGAAAATTCGGCATTCCCACACTTTCTTCGAATATGTCGTCGTTTCTGATCAGGTCCCATTCAAGATGGAGATCCTATTGGGATTTTTCTTGACGTATGCGATGTAGTGCTACTGCATGAAGAAAGCAAGCAGACTGTGTTGACGCTTATATCACCAAGCTAGTTCTGCATACCGGCAGTTGAAGGTGCGTGAATGGCTGACACCAACAAATACTCCTGTAGTACTACTACTAACATTCGTACTACAAATATATTGTCGATTTTCTTCAAATGTCCAATTTTCCGTGGCTCACACAAACGGAGACAATATATTGACTTCGCATTTTTTCGGCAGAAATCCAAACTGATATTGTAGCAAATCAGCGACAAGTAATTTCAGATTGACCAATAGGAGAGATTGGTGCCTGGTTCGGTCGGCCCGAGATTCGTTTGAAATGGGTCCATGCCGAATCTCCAATTCCGTTTTTTGTATCAATTTTCGGAAAATGTGAACTCTCCTACTTTTCACATTCTACCCGAATTTGCAAAGAGGGGCCAGGGGCACCGTAAAACCTCGGTGTGGTATAGAAATAGTCCGTCGCGATTTCAACCCTCGTGAAAGAGGAGAACAAGGCACGAGGGATGAGACTTATTGGGTGCATGCCATTCGCAATGCTCTTCATCGCCACATTCAATAGGAGCCTAACGTTACACGTACCGGTAAACCAATGGCTTTTCCCTCATCAGAATCGGGGGGGGGGTGTTTGGTGAGGCCAATCAGATGCAAGCACGAATACATCGCGTGTTGTACATCCCAGGATTTGCAGGATGTATTCCAGTAAAACCAGGAAATTTCCCATCGTGTACAGTCGGGGTAGTCGGGTTGACATAGGTTGTACCCGTCTTTCTCTGCACTCTTGTTGACCTTTGGAAATAGGTCCCCCCTCAAGGCAGGCTCTTCGATACCTTCTGCATTTCACTTTTTATAACTGTATCGTCATGCGGCAGGATGGAATTCCAACGTTAGGGCACAAGTTACTAGGAATATTGCGCTTGATATAGGAAAGTTCCCCTCGGAACGTTACAAATTCACTCACACACGTGGAAACGACACACACTGAGGATAATTATCCGGACACCATTTTCGTCCGCGTTGTGTAAAACTTCCCTCGACGTGACCATCCCGCCGACGGTGAGTCCCCTTAGTCGACGACCGAGGAAGTGCTCAGCTTGATGCGGAAAGCCCCTTTGCCCGACACAATCCAGTCCATGGTGAAGCAGCGCAAGTCCACAGCTACGGCGTTGGTTGATGAAAAGGACGACGGCTCGCCAACAGTACCGCCGCCGCCAAAGTCTGGCCTGTTCAAGTCCAAGATTCGCCTACCCTTCCAACGCGATCGGATCGACAGCACCTTGTCTGAGGCGCGAGTTTCAGATGTGAGTGACGATGCGTCGGACGAGAAAGACAAGTCACCGACACCTGTCCCAGGCAAGAAAACCCCCCCAAAGCCCACTGGCACCAGCGAATGCCACATGTGTCGCACGCATCTGGGCCTTCGTCGGTACAAGCACCACTGCCGAAATTGCGGCAATTCCGTGTGCAGCTCCCACAGCAAGAACCAGCTGCCGTTGCCGCAGTTTGGCATTTTACGCGCCGTGCGCGTGTGCGATCGATGCACCAAGGACGTGTTGCAGCAGCGCGTAGGCATCAAGCGCGGTACGTCGTTGTTCCAGGAGAGCGCATCCGTCACGAACGACTCGTCCATCGGCGGGGTGCTGTACAGCGGCATGGTCGAGGAGCAGGACGCGACCATGGACAGCGTGCTGTACCTTGGGTCGTTGAAGATGACGGGGCGGTCGCTCGCCAGTCGCAACATGAACTTGAACGTGGCCATCTGGAAAGACCGCATGCTCGTGATCACCCCCGCCGAGATTCTGTGCTTCAAGCATTACGCCGACTCGGGCCTCGGCGAAGTGCGCACCACCGTGCATATGACCGACATCCTCCACGTGTACATCAACGACAAGTACCCGACGATCCTCACGACTGTACGCGCCGACGGCCGGTACAACGACTCCGCCTATCTCTCTCTCTCTTAGAAATATATGTGTACGCATTAGAATCTTTCGCATCCGCGCCAAGGACAAGGACCAGTGCCACGCCATCCACGACATCCTCACGCGCACGATGCAGCTGTTTCAGGACGCGCTGTACAAACTGCAGCGCGGCGTGCGGCCAGAGGACTTCTCCGTTACATCGGTCACGTCCCAGCACGCGTCGTCGTTGCCGGAGACAGTGGTCATGGCGTTCCCCCAGCTGGGCGACGTCATGGCAGTCCACGTGTTCCCATCCACACTCGTCCGCGTGTATGTGGCGGGTCCGATCGCGTCGGGGGTTGCCGTCTACACGTACGACATGCTCACCCAAAACGCGTTTCACCAGCCGCTCAACGCGCAAGATATTGTGCGGCAGTACTGCGAGATGCCGCACTCGGTGGAGGACCCCCACGGCCTTGAAGTGCACGTCACCTCTGGCGGTATCATACTAATATTATATTACACTAGTACCTCACGAACGAATGCTCCATGTAGACTCGTCTTCGCACAACAAGTTCAACACGAAAGACTGGGCGAGGCTGGTCGTGGTGGCGGCCGTCGGGGCTTTGGGCTGGCTGTATCTTCTGCCAGGGATCTTCATCCTGGGGCTCGTGGTGGCGGCGGCAGTTGCCGTCTTCTGGGTTCCGTCTGATATGAGGGGCCATTTGGGGGTGATGTGGGCGACGCGGCGCTGGCAGACGGCAACACTGCGAATCATCAGTTGCAAGCAAGTGTCGGTCGGGCTCAAGTGCGGCGGCGGCGGCAGCGGCGGCTCGGACGAGGACACGCCCGACAACGACGTGTACCGGCGGTTCGTGGAAGGCGCGTCCGGCGACGTCGAGTTGGCCAAGCGCAAGTACTTTTTCATGATGAGTTGGCGCAAGACGGAAGATATTGACAACATCCTCGCCAAGCCCCACGACAACTTTGCTGCGGTAGGTACCACACATACACTATTTGGAGGTAGAAACCAACATCGTCCGTCACACATGGTATGGATGGTAGTTTAAAGAGTGCATGGTGAGCTACATCCACAAGCGAGACAAGTGCGGGCGCATGGTGCTCGTGGACAAGTCGGGCGTGATGAAGAAGAGCATGCAGGCGCTGCTCGCGCGCGGCCTGACCGTGGACGACGCATGCTACCACACGGCGTTCATCATGGAGTACCAGTGGAAGGTGCTGGACCCGCGGCCATACCCCGACGGCCAGATGCTCCGTATCATCGACCTCAAGGGCATCTCCATGGACGCCATGAGCAGCGAAGTGTTTGGGTTTGTCAAGAAGCTCGGGTTCATCGTTGGCCACTACAACGCCGAGCGCATCTACAAAGTGATCATTGTGAACCCCCCCGCGTGGTTCAACATGATTTGGAAGGTCGTGGCGCCCATGATCAACCCCAAGACCCGCGACAAGGTACGAACGACGTCATCGTCGGAAACGTTGACAACATGTGTAGACGATTGTCGTGCGCGGCGCGGCCGAGATCACGAAAGCCCTGCTCGAGTTTATCGACTTGGAGAATATTCCGCAAGAATACGGCGGGACCTGCGCGTGCGAAGGCGGCGGGTGCATGACCCATTCCCCCGAAGAAATCGAACTGCGCGCCTTTGTCACGAAGCTCAATGATCGCGATGTCGCCGGTGCCCAGGAATTGCTGCAGCAGATTCGAGACCGACCCCATGCGTTGTCTAGCGTACAGGAGGACCAACAGCTCGACCAGCAGTCATAGAAATCCCCCATCATCATTTCCTCGTTGTGTTCATTACGTTATGTGATGCATGTCGAATGCTGATGCTGTCTGTGATGCTGCACACGAGTATGCAGGTTAGATGGAGTAGGATTGCATGACGGTCGGAGAATGTCTTCCATCGCGCAACATCATGCCCATCGTCGCGGCGGCTTTGAGCGGTCCTCGAGCATTCGATTATCCGGCTCCATAATTTAAAACTTGGGCGGAATATAAAATAGTTGGGCCTTTTCATGCTTACAGACTTCAAGTCAAATTGAGGTGGGTATAAAATATTTCTAGTATTTTTATTCAAGGCCCGCTGGCCTACCGCGAGGTGGAACAAGAAGTAAAATCGAATATCCCGCCGACAACGATGCTGGACGCAAGGGAAATGGTGCCCTTGCTGGCCATCCTCAATGTACGTGCGATGCTTCATGCGAATGGGAAGGACATGGGGTTGCTTATGGCGTGGCGTCATGTAGGAAGATGAGAAGTCCCTCGAGGCTGTCGTGTCCCTGTTCCTGCGGTCGTTCACGAAAAACGACCACTTTAAGGTGGGCTGCATGATCTGCTTGCTCGTGGTCGACAACCTGCTGACGAACGCACAACGCATCGTGGGCTTTACGATCCTGAGCGAAGTGTTTCGCAACGAAAACAACACCAACCCGTTCTTCCCATGCCTCGTGGAAGCGGTGGACGCGCCGCTGGTCGACCCCGCGGAGAAGCGGTTCCTCCTCCACCTTCTCTCTCGTATGAGTTTGAGCGGTAACTCTTCCGAACCGAGCAAGAAGCACATGAACGCCAAGCAGGTGCTGAATTTCTTCCGCAATGAACCCAAGGCGGCGTCCATCAACCTCGACCTGGACAAGCAACTGTACGTCGAGAAAACCCCCCGTGTTCCCGAACGCCGCGCCCAAGGCGTTCGCGGTGTGTTGTCCCATTCACCGCTGGAATTCCAGGAACATGGCAACCACAACCTCCTCCTCGCGCCGTCCGACATCAGCGCCGTCAACACGGACGACGAGGCGCCGCTGAACGTTCAGGACCTGCATCTCGACACGTGCACCATGCTGAGCGTCGACCCGTCGTTCGTGCGGCCTCCTCCGAGCATCCTCGAGCCCGACGTGACCGAATTCATGTGGCTGAACCCAGATTACTGCCCCACGTTGCTGTGGGACACTGCCATGTACGAAGAAGTGGACGTCGACTGCGGGCGCGAGTTGCGGGACCTCATGTCCAAGGCCTTCCACGGTCCGTTGGTGCCGTCGCAGCAGCAAAAGGTAACACCTATCGTCCCAAGTCGAATCTCATGTTTATTAGGTACTGGCCGACTTGGACGCGGACCCGAAGCTCGTGTACTCGTGCCAGCTGACGCCGACGCGGCTGCCCGACCTGGTCGAGAACAACCCGATGATCGCGATCGAGTGTCTGCTCAAGCTCATGTCGTCGAACCAGATCACCGAGTACTTGTCGGCGTTGGTGAATATGGACATGTCATTGCATTCGATGGAGGTGGTGAACCGGCTGACCACGGCGGTGGAGCTACCGACTGAGTTCATCCACTTGTACATATCCAACTGCATCTCATCGTGTGAGAACATCAAGGACAAGTACATGCAGAGCCGCCTCGTGCGCCTCGTGTGTGTCTTCTTGCAGTCGCTTATCCGCAACAAGATCATCAATGTGCAGGTACATATCACTAACATTTGACGACCAACCTCGGATCCCGTTTTGTTAGGACTTAATTATTGAAGTACAAGCGTTTTGCATCGAGTTTAGCCGGATTCGAGAAGCGGCGGGGCTGTTTCGGTTGTTGAAAACGTTGGAGTGATAGGAATACAAAAAAAAGTGCCAAACAACGTCATATATCTCGTGGTTGTCTTATGCATGAGGATGTGCCGCCGTGGCCTTGGTGCTCTCCTCCAGGTACAAGCGCATGGCAAAGAGGCCGTCGGGGGTGAACTCGTCGGCGCGCGCGATGATGTCGGACGCGGACATGACGAGCACTTGCGACACTTCTTCGGGCTGCAACGTCAATGCGCCGTCGTATACGCACTCGAACATGCCGCCCCACACAACCGTACTTGCATCCTACGATCAAAGATATGTTGGCGAAGGTGATGAGCATAGAACGAGGGATGGATGCATCGAGACTTGGTAGAAGAACGTGCACACAAACGTTAGCGGGACGCCTGACACGCCCATCTCCTCTTTGACTTCACGAAGCGCATTGTCTTCGTAACTTTCGCCGGCTTGCACGACACCACCGGCCATCGGGTCGAGGAATCCAGGGCAGTAGTCCTTGATCAACGTCCGCCGCTGCACGTAAAAGTCCCCCCTACCGACGAGCATTGGTGAGCCACACCCGCGCAAATCAAGCTGGTTTCGCACGCGCTGTTTCGAATGACAATGTACGTGGCGCGATGGGGAAGCGAAAACACGCGCTACGCATGTATGCGCACGAAGAAGTGTCGTGAAGAACGTCCATGTGACCAACCAAACGCACTACCATCACAGATCGATCGGCCTTCCCCACGACATTGTTGTCCAAGTCCACGATTTCAACCTAGCACATCTCGTCCATGATGAGGATTTCATCCGTATACATTCCTGGCTAAGGTTACGGGTGGATGCGATTTCCTTACTTGCTCGCGGGCCGTCAAGCTGTTGAGCTTCTGTTCCAACGACGCTTGCATGTTGTTGATAGCGAAGTTGCGTTGATTCATTCGGATAATTGTTATTTATCCGGATTGTAGGGGAATATGACATTTGAAATCGCATATGTGGGGCTAACGTTACAGTAACTGTAAAGGGTCCACGTTGACGCGGACGGTGTGAGGGCCTCCGAGCTAACGAATCCTCGATCGTGCCATCCTATTTCACACGGGTTGTCGAAGTGACTTCTGCCCTGGGGACATGATCGGTCAGCTGCATGTAGCACGCAAGATCGTTGCGACAACGAAGATGGACGATTGAGAGTACTGTACTGTGTCGACAAGTGTGAGCAATAATCCACCCACGCAACGCTGGAAGGTTTTTTTACTAATACAACTAACGTTACTGTAACGGATGGTCACTTTGCAGTCGTCCTAGAGGTCGTCAAGTACGTGCGGAAGGCAAACATGCCGTCGGGCGTGATGTCGTGCTCGCGAGCCAAGATCTGCTGTTCCGACAGAAGCAGCACCTCCGCCACCTCTTCGTCTTGCTTGGTTACCGGTCCATCGTACACGCAATCGTACAGGCTTCTCCAAACGAGCATGGGTGGCGACTACTCGTACGTATGTAGTACATGCCAATGAGTCGCCAGTTGGTGGTGCATGTCTCGGGATGATGGGTGTGTACCGAGTACGAGAACGTGGTGATGTGGGTCAAGGGGGTGTTGCGGATGCCCATCTCTTCGTCGAGTTCGCGGTAGGCACTCTCGTCGTACGATTCGCCAAACCCAACGACGCCGCCGGCCATGGGCTCCAGGAGCCCAGGGCAATAGTCTTTGGTGCTCGAACGACGCTGTACGTAGTAAAGGCCACTATACAAACCAGATACAAAGTCACCCCCGCCAAGTGCAAAGTCGTGGCAAGCTCGTACGCAGAGTTCCGAACCACGACATACGTGGCTCTATGCGGAAGGTTGAATATTTTCTACATGCAGGCACTGAGTCATCGCATGATTTCAAGAGATAGACTTGAAGTGCCGGACCATCACGGCCCGTGTGGAGCTCCCTATGACGTTGTTGTGTGCGTCGACTATCACGACCTGAATGCACAAGATGCAGTGTCATGCAGGGAAGGCGATACAGTAGCGATACGTCGCATAACGTACTTGTTCTCCTGCGCTAGCTCCATGCAGTTTCGCTTCGAGCAGTCCCACGTCGCCTGGCACCGTCGTCATGCCCGTGAACTTCGTCGAACGTATGTACGTCCAACAAGTGATATTCTTAATCTCGAGTTATACGTATACACTACCCTTCCGGATGTTTTGACCACATACGACGGCACAATATTGCCAGTACATGGTTCGAGAGTCGTCGTAGAATGCATTGACCCATCAAAGTGCAAACTCGGTGGTCAGAACCAGGCAGCCACGTTGACCTAGCTGCAAGTAGAAGCCACCCCCCTTCAGTCAACCACGGTACTCTACTGGATGCTTCCATCAACCTCTACTTCAAGTGAGCGGAACAATCTGAGGACCATCGCCATCGTCGTTTGTGCGGGGGGGAGGGAAGGAATGCGTAACGTCGTCGTGAAGGGTTGCGCCATATGCATCGCATTGGCCTAAACACTTGGCAAAGCCAGAAGCGCGTCCGTGTTACGTTAGCTAGTGGGTGCTACTGGAATGTTCGTCGCAAATTGCAAAACGCGTCCGATCACCATGCCCCCGTGCTCATCGTCATCACAAGGTTGAATCTGTGCTGAACCATGGTACTAGTACTCTACCGGTAGTACGCTGGACGGTTGGAACTGAATGTATCGCAAACGAACTGTCGTTGCACGATACTGTACTGCATCGGCAAGTGGCGGACGCAACACCACGATGCCGCCGCCAACCAACAAATGATCTCTGTAACCGCTCCAGGCGGTTTCATCCAAAACCACTCGGTCTGACTTGCATCAAGTCCACACCTCTCCATGTCGAACTTCGAGTTGAGGTACACAGCTGGCGTCCATCCAATGGGCACGTACTCGGGCGACGAGGAGCAAGTGTTTTGTCAGCGTATGTAGGTACTTTCTGTGCATGTCTTTGGCACCGAACAGCCACCCAGCACCCGATTCTACTAAGCTTACTTCCTTTCTCAAGTCCGTCCTCGTGTTGTAGTAGTAGTACCCTTTTCATTCTCCATCTCCCTTCCAACCCCACACCAAGTGATGACCTGTGAAACCGCGTCGACTTCCCTTCCCATTGCATCCAACGAAGACGAACGTCTCCAAGCGTTGTACCAGCTCAGCATTCTCGACACACCCAAAGACCACGTGTTTGACATTGTATGCGACTTGGCCGCCAAGGCACTGAATTGCTCGTGCGCTGCCGTGACGTTCATCGACAAGGACCGGCAATGGTTCAAGGCCACATTGGGCTTGTCCGTGTCGGAAGTGCCTCGCGGCGTGAGCTTCTGCACGGTAGCGTCCAGCGGCCCCATCGCCGTACCAGACACGCTCCTGGACGACAGGTTCGCGCACAACCCCCTCGTCACACAAGCCAACGTCCGGTTCTACGCGGCCGCCCCTATCACGACTCCGACTGGCCACGTCATCGGGACCGTGTGTGGCTTCGACGACCGCGCACACTTGGACGACGACATATGCGACATGGCCGCCTTGGTCCTCTTGGCTGCCGCTGTCCTCGACCACCTCGACAAAGCCGCGTACAGCATGGACGATCCGTGGCAGCAAGCGCAGCGGCAGTCGACGTACGGGCCTCTGCCAAAATGGACCACTGCACTCCCGTTCTTTTCGTCGCGAAAGCTGTCGAGCATCGGCAGCTGCGACGACGTAACTGAATTCGATTGGGCCAACAAGGACGACCAAGAGCGAATGGACGTACTGAGCAGTTACAATGTCCTGGACACAAAGGCGGACGAGTTCTTCGACGCCATCTGCGGCGACGCGATCGTCGCGTATGCGTGCCCCATCGCCGCAGTGAGCTTCATGGACAACGCTCGGCAGTGGTTCAAAGCCAGTGTGGGACTTGGACTCACGGAGATCCCGCGCACCATCAGCCTCTGCGACACTGTGAGCGCCAACCCCACCGTCGTGCTGGACACGCTGCAGGACCCCCGCCTCGTGCACAATCCGTTTGTGAATGGCACCCCTCGCATCCGCTTCTACGCGTCGGCGCCCCTCGTGTCCCCCCAAGGGTTTGTCGTCGGCTCCATCTTTGTGCTGGACGTGGTAGAGCGCCCCGACTGCGATACGGCCAACCTCGTCGCACTGTCCAAGAAGATCATGGAACATCTCGACCACCAGAGCTAACCCGAACGACGGAGGAGTGTTTGGTGTTCTTCCGTGATTGTAGCGGGTGTTGAGTGTATGTATGCGTGGGGATTTCAAACTAAGATTAATACTTCGAAGTAAAAGAACAGTTTCTTTTAACGGGTGCGGACAGTTAATTGTTATAATAATACCGGATGATGTTGCTTGAAGATGAATAAAAGAACAGTGTTTAAAAAACGATCAAACTCAACATGACCAACGTGCCCAACAACAGCAGAAACCGCGACAAGAACACATGCTGCACGCGCTGCTGGGCTTCCGCCTCTGACACCGGTCCTAGCGATGACTGATGAGAAGGAACATATGGAGGGGACGCATGTGTGCGTACCTGTGTCCGCGACGGGGGAATGCGTGGCATGTTGCTACAATAGAGGTGGTGAACGAGGCGATGCTACAGCTTTGAACGTACGAATTGAAGCCCAAAGAGGGAAGGGAAGAAGCCGATCATGGGCGAAAAGCCCACGTCTTGTGTCGAGTCCTGTTCTGGCTAAGTCATGTGGTGAGAGACGCAAGCGGACGGCAAACATGTATTCGTACCGCAAAGCGCCCCCGACGTTGAACTGGTTCAGGTCGTTGTCCCCTCGGACGGTCAGGAACTCCGACGTCAAGCGGCACGCTTTGTTTTCTACGGCCAACGTCTGAAGATGCAGTGGTGCATAAACATGTACTACCTTGGATCGACAGAATTCGACCCGCGGCCATACACGGGGATGACATTGTCCTGTGTCACGCCTGCCTTGCACACCGGGCATTGGCTGTTGCTACATATCCACTACACCCCTGAATCACTTCAAAGCATTTGAACGGCGGCACGTACTCGATAGAGGCAGGGCCAACTGCACAACCCAAAACGGCATGAGCACTTTCGACAACGATGGCTTTATTCCGTACGTACCAGTACAAGTGGCCACACAACGTGACCACGGGCTCTTTGACATGATCCAAGCATATGTTGCAGTCGAATGCATGGGAACCGTCTGGTGCTTCTCGCGGCGGCGGCGATTCAGAAGACACCGTCTCGGGATCCATGTCCTATTTATTGCTCGACGAGCAAACAATTTCTTTGTGGGTTATGAAAATCATTGATACGATTCGATTGGCTGAAATATCATTTATCTACCTTTTGATTGGTTCATTGGATTCCTTTCTCACGACAGTAATTTTAGATTTCGGACACATGGGCACCTCCGCGTCAAAGCAGCTCTTCGACTCTGCCGGGAGCAATGATGTCGTCAAGTTAAGGTCCTTGATCAAGGAAGGAATCGACGTCAATATGACCGCTGGACCGGTATGTTCTCTTGTGCGTGGTGGGATATGGGGCTAAGCTAATCCGCGAATATGCAGGAAGGAATCACTGCGTTGCATGCTGCTGCGGAGAAAGGACACCAACGAACTGTTGCGCTCTTGCTTGAGAACGGTGCCGAAGTAGATCGAAAGACAGCGGTACGTACGGTGTATATCTTGGGGAGATGAAACAACAGAGCATGGTGCTGCTTCACAGGAGGGCCGGGCGGCGTTGTACATTGCCGCCAAACGTGGCCATGTGGAAGTCGTCAAGAGTTTGCTCGAGCACGGGGGCGACATTGAAACGAATCGAAAGGTGTTCCCAATCTCTCTTCCGCTGGCCTCGTCATGCGTTGCGGTAGAACGGGCGAACGGCCATCGTCATCGCGTCCAAAAAAGGGAACGTCGAAGTGGTCAAATATCTCGCCGGTCGCGGCGCCAACTTGGAAGCATGCCGAAACGTACGTCGACATCCCATGCTTGCTAGTGTGATGCGACGCACATGTCGGTATAGGATCGATGTACCCCGCTGTACTATGCCGCGAAGAAAGGACACGTGGAAGTGGCGCAGTTCCTCATCGACAGCACAGCGGCCCTGGAAGCGTCGAGCATTGTACAGCACCTTCCCATGCCCCGTTGACGTTTAAACAAGTGGGTAGGACGGCACGACGCCGCTAATGATTGCCGCTCAAAAGGGCCGACCCGTGATGGTGGAAGTGCTGATTGATCGAGGGGCGAACGTCGAAGCGTGCAGAAAAGTACGTGACGCGGATAGTTACGTGAACATGGAGCGAATCTCTCTCAAGCACCATGACAGGATGGATGCACCGCGCTGTACTTGGCGGCCAAGATGGGGCAGTTGCGGATAGTCAAGTTATTGTTAGAGCACGGCGCCAACGCGGACGCTCGGGACACCATCGTACGAGTGGGACGGCTGTTCACTGATTGACGATGGGCTTCGTAGCTGGGGATCACTCCGTTGGCAGTTGCGGCGATCGAAGGGCACCTCGAAGTCGTAAAGCATCTACTCGCAAATGCCCACGCGTCGTTTACGTCCACCAACCAGGTACGATGAACTGCCCCCCACCAGTCGTCGCATCATGTGTGTGGTAGGACGGATCGACCCAAATCGTCAACGCCGCCGCGCAAACGTACAGCGACGTCGCGGACGCAATAGCGGAGTTGGAGAATCCAGACAAGCAGCTCACCATGGATAAGGTCAAGAAGGCGTTTATGTTCTAATCCACCATACTATACGTACAGTGCATCATTCGCTAGGCACGTCTGGCATCGTAATCGTCTGGTTGCTTCCTCCTCGGCCGACAGTGCTGGACTCATCTTAATTTCGTTGAGATAATATTTCGAGTGCTTTTCCATGCCGCAGATCAGTTGAATCGTTTTAAGGGGTATCTTAAACGCGTTATTCAATAAAACGGAGTCGACTATCTGAGTGTTTCACAGTTGGAAATGTCTGCGTTATACTACCACATAATCACGTTAAACCCTGATGTGGCGTTTTACGGTTTTGCCTCTCCCAACAAACAATGCATGACTTGGATTTATTATGAAGCACGGAGCTCCCTGTGAAAACAAATACGAGACATATCCAAACACGGAGGTTTCCATTGATTTCACTTTGTTACTTATTACCTACACGGTACAGTACAACGTCGTCCGTGGCTAAGGAGAGCGCCTCGGGAACACCGTCCAAGATGCCGACAGGATCACACTCGGGATCAAACTCGAGCTCAAACATGTCCGAAGACGGCTACGACGTAGACAGCAAGTACACGTCGGGGGTCGACGTCATGGGGGGATACTTGGTGAAAGATCTCGACAGCGGCAGATCCTACCGCGTCGAGGAAATCGACCAGCACTACAGCCTCGTGACTCTGGATAGTGCGAAAGAGCAGCTGAATCAAACGTAGGACTTTCTCGTAGCCAGATGACCCACCGTGACAGCGTGTTTGTGCGTAGGGAGGACCTGTTGTCGATGTACTCGGCCGATGCCACGACCGTTGTGGAAATCGAGCCCCCGGTGTCCGATTCAGAACAGGAAGAGGACCACTCCATCGAGGCATCAGCTTATGGCGACGTAAAGGAACGGACGATGAAGCTGCTGCCATGTTTGCTCGCGAAATGTACGACGCAGCACACGCGCGTGTCAGGTTACTGTCCCGTCCACGAGGTCCAAGCGAAAGAGGTACACGATGCCTCCTCATGCGTCGGCGGTACCCATGTCATGCGGATTAGAAAGAAGATTCACGCGCTCAGGCCGTGTACTTGATCCCAGTGGGGAAGGAAGCGAGCTTTGTGCGCATCAAGGGCCACGCGTTCGTAGAAGACGCCATGTCTCGCTTGTACACGGTGTACATCATTGAAATGACCTGCGCCGACCATCAGTGGTGTGTCTATCGGCGGTACCGCGACTTCACTGCGCTGTTCGACCAGGTACTTCTTCTTCAAAGTCGATCGATCGATGCACCATCATCATCTTGCTACCTACCCACTCTGCTCACACGAATAATCATCCATGGTCTTCTGTGTGTGTTTGTCAGTTGAAACTAAAAAAAGTGGCCATCAAGCTGCCGCCGTTGCCGCCCAAGAAGATCATTGGGTCGTTCGAGCCAGATTTCATTTCCAAGCGGCAAACCGACCTCGGGCTCTGGATCGACAGCCTCTTGACGCAGGAGCCGTCGGCCGTACCGCCGCAAACGTGCGACGACATCGTGCGCTTCCTCACGTGGAAAGCCGACCAGCCTCCGTTCCTTGTGGAGCAGCCCAGCGCGTTCCTCAACTCGAACGCGAACGAACCCCGCGTGACGCTGCAGGACTTCAAGATGATCCAAGTGATTGGGCGCGGGTCGTTTGGCAAGGTCGTGCTCGTGGGCCACCACGCGACCAAAAAGCTGTACGCGATGAAGATGCTCAACAAAGCCAACATCGTCAAGCGCAAGCAGGTCGAGCACACGCGCACCGAGCGCCGCGTACTCGGGTACACCAAGCACCCGTTCATTGTGGGGCTGCACTACGCGTTTCAAACCCCCCAGCGGCTCTACTTTGTGCTCGACTACTGCCCCGGCGGCGAGTTGTTTTACCACTTGACGCGCATGAAGAAGCTGCCCGAACACATGGCGTGCTACTACGCGGCCGAGATTGCGCTCGCGCTCGAACATTTGCACAGCCTCGGCGTCGTCTACCGGGACTTGAAGCCTGAAAACATCTTGCTGACCAAGCAAGGCCACGTGAAATTGGGTACGTGTCCGTCCATCAACCTGAGAACAGCCACCCATGTTGCGTTGCTTGTTGTAGCCGACTTTGGGCTGGCCAAAGAAGGCATTACAGATGGCGTCAACGGCACCAACTCGCTGTGCGGGACGCCCGAGTACTTGCCCCCCGAGATTCTGGATCGTCTGGGGCACGGCACGGCCGTGGATTGGTGGAATTTAGGTGGGGGCACCAAAGATTTCGATATATATTTTTTCCTTTTACCCAACATTTGGACGTTTGTGCTGATTCTTTGCCAAATTGACCCATCGATTCGTTGACTTTTGTAAAGATCGTCCAGTATCACACTAATTTCAGTCACACACTAATTCGGTGTTGACTTGGTTGAAGAGTGAATTTGATTGGCCACTTGATTCGTGTTTTGTATTTTGATTGGTCGTATATCGATTGTCTGTCGATTTGGTGATTCTGCTCATTCGATTGAGAACCCAAACACTCCAAGTTTGAATCGACTTGACAATATATGGGGACCATATTAGGCATGGTGCTGTTTGAAATGCTCACGGGGCTGCCTCCGTGGTACACGAACGACCGACAAAAGCTGTTTGACCGGCTCCGGTCCGCGCGGCTGCACTTTCCCCCGTATGTGTCGCACAAGGCGGAGAGTTTGATCCGGGCGCTTCTCAACCGCAACCCGTCCGAACGGCTCGGTGCCCGCGGGGCCAACGAAGTCAAGGCGCACCCGTTCTTCGAGACGGTAGACTGGCCAGCACTGCTGGCGCTCAAGACGCCGCCGCCGTTTCGGCCGTGCAGGACGACTGCCAACGAAGAAACGCCGCTGAATTTTGAAGCCGAGTTCACGCGCCTGCCGCTCCCGAGCGTGGAAATCCTGGAAAAGGCGCAGCGGGACCGGACGACGTCGGACACGTTTTCAGGGTTTGCGTACGAGTGCCCAGACGACATGGACGCCGTGGGGTCTTAGCAGGGATTAGTATTGAGTGGCGAATAAATATACCGAGCGCGAGTTATACCGGCTAGGACGAGCTACTGCAGCTGCTACTGGAGGGACTGGTGGGGGCATCTACTAGCACGGGGTGCAACGCTTCCTTGTACTGCTCGATGATGTCTAGCCCTAGGTGCAGCTCATGCTCCAACTCGTGCAGTTCCTTCCACGTGAGCGTGTCCAAGCCGTAGCCTTTGAGTCGCATGAGCAGTTTGTTTTCAGTTTCAGCGTCCGACAACTCTTGCTTGAGGTCGTGGACTTCGTCTTGCAGCGCAGATATCTTTCGCTTCGCTGCGCCACGAATGGAACCTATCGCAGCAGTCGAGTGGACAATGCACAACCAATGGATGTTGTACCTGGTGTGGACCTCCATCGAGAATACACCGCCGCCACGACGCTGATCAACGTAAGCCCCCACCAAAGCTGGTCCCAGTGGTAGGGCTCTCTGCCGTCGGCATGTTCACAAACGAGCAGTTCCTTTCGCGATGGAGCCAACACCACCGTGTCACTCCATGCGCTCCACTGGGGTTGAAGCAGCTGGAAGATGACACCGGGGTCGACGCGACTGCGCACTCGAAACGAAATCTGCCGCGACGTACTTGCATTTTCCAGCACTGCAAAGCAATCGTTGGTGTAAATGCTGCCAGGCTCGCCAGTGTTGAACGACGACAAGCTGCGCAATAGGTCGTGCCATGTCCTGTCGAGCCAGTATTGGACGTGGAAGCGAGATTGAACTGGGCCGTGCTTGTGAACATCGGGTGTTTCAGCGCAAAGCGGGTGTTGCCACGTGAAGAGCACTTGGCTGTGCAAATGCGACGCATGTCCAAGCCCTGGGCTCGCTTCATGGAGCTCGGCATCGGATGTGAAGCGTTCCGCCGAGACCTTTGTAAGGTGGTGGGGAATCGGATTGCTGCTGGGGATGCTCCAGTACAGAAGGATCAGGCTAAGTAGGCCGATTACACTGACAATGCCACAGATGACCAGCCCAAGACAGCAACTTGACGTTCGCCGCGATGACATCACCACCTTCTCCCACGCGTTTCGGAAATGTGATTGGGCATCCACATGTCAAATATTCGTTTATACTATAGTATTATTAATATACTTTTATGTAATATTAATATTACTACCGGTCGTACCTAATCAATACTGTACTACCGTCGAAATTTGGCGTAAAAGGGAAATATATAATACAATTACTAGTATACTGTAGTAATACAATTACTAGTATCGGATCGGAGCACATGCGAGTGATGAATTTATTACATTGGTTATTTTAATTTTGTTACAAATTTCCCACTTCTTCTCGAGCACAAATTTCGCCACGAAATTTCATTGGCTTTCCCGAAGTAAAACGAGCAAATAGTGTAGCCAATCAGCGACAATTGTTTTCAGATTGACCAATGGGAGCGATTTGTGATCGGTTTAGTCCATTGAACGGATCAAACATACCAACGTTTGCGCTGATTTGCCAAATCTATCGATCGATTCTGTGCACTGATTTTTGTATGTAAACATTTGTCCTGTGGTGATTGAATTCACACTAATTCAGGTCGAACTCTAGTTAACTGTAAATTCTGATGATTGTTTGCTGCAATTTGATTGGCTAAAAAGCTAAAAATCAATCCTTCTGCCGATTTATTTATTCTCCAGTTTACTACTGTACGCAGTACTAGAATAAACACAAACAATATTCAAAATTAGAAGCCAAATCAAAACCCTATCAAGGGGAACACGCCAGTTCGAGCAACCGGCACATGGGGGCGAGTGCCAACCACCCAAAGCTCAAGTACGGCGGGTCTCCATGTTCCCACTCGTACGTGTACGCAGTGTAGTACCACGCAGACGCCTTCTGGAGCGCCCGCGGGTCGTTGACATCGTTGCCGAATTCGGCCCAAAACTTGGCTTCGTACTTGGTTCGAACTTGACGGACGACCAACTGCAAGCGGTCAGACACGTCTTTGGACGCTTTGAGCCCTTTGCGACGGCATATTTGTCGGGACAAGCTGCGAACGTTCCCTGAAATGAGCTCAATCTCACTGTGGACGTGGTACTTGCACGCGATGTCCCAGAGTTCCGTCGAGTAGGCAAAGCACTGGTCGTCCGCGTCGTTCATGTACGCTTCGTGCCCGGGTACCACGAGTCGCGCGTCATGGCGCCACGTGCAATGTGACATGGACGGTGGATTCGCGTGCTTGGCGCGACGGTACACTTGGCCGAGGATCTTGTCCGACTGGTACGATGCCTTGGTGGCATTCTCCATAAAGTCGGGGTAGACGGGCGAGCTCCGGATGCGACCTTGGACTGACACGCCCGTCTTGGCGTAGTCGACGGCCACAGACGCCTGCTCCGCCAGTTCCAAGCACTCGTCGGACTTGGCGCCGGCGTCGGTCATGTCCGTGAAGACCAAATGGGCGCTGGAAATTTGACCCAAGTTGTCGTTTCGCATGTACTCGACGAAAAACTCGGCCACTTGGTCCTAACCACAACAACAATATATATATATATATATATATATATATTGTGGATTCGATACGAATTTCCAGACCCCGTCAAATCGAATCACGAATCGACGCTATTGGCTAATCCATTTTTTAGTGGATTTGATTGGCTCTTGCTGAAAGGACAAGTATATATATCAACCAATCACAACTTCCGGCGTGATTCAATATGGACTAGACAAACCAGGCGAATTTTAAAAGTTTATAGCGAATTCACAATATATGTAAAAAAATCAACCAACACGAGCCAAATCGTAGTATAGTACCGAGTGCGAGAGGGCAGAGCCCCCCGTCGACGCGTGGTTGGGCGTTGGAGGGTCATATAACATGGGGGGGTACTCGTGTGTGGGCAGCAGCGATTTATCCCACAGGACAAAGTAAATGTCTCCGTCCAAGTCGCCGCCAGACATTTTGTTTGGGTCTGGCCGGCCGCCATTGCTCGAAAACACTAGCACATCGTACAAGTGACCAAGTCGGGGGACGTGCGCTCGACGCATGAGTCGAATGTCCCCTGGATGCAAGCAAGGGCACCGCCCGACTGCCAGCAACGCCCCCGTTGGCGGGACCTCGTATCGGTTGCTCCGTGTCTGGAAAAACACTTGGCCTTCTTCTAGGCTGTGGGTCTCGTCGAGCACTCCCATGAGGCACACGGCTCGGGGCACCAAGATGCGAGCCTTGAGCTGCAAGTCCAAAGATAGCCGACGCCGCAGCGACTGCGTCCACTCAAACACAAACGGGTCGTCCAGTGTACAGCCAGCCTTGAGCAGGCGCAGAGGGGGGTCCAACGGGGCATGCTTCTCAAACAGGACGATCGCATCGGCGGCCGTCGAAGCGGACGAGGCCATGGACTCGAGCATGTCGTTCAGCAGCGCCATCACGCTCGCGTCATGCACCCCCAGGCAGCTCAAGAGCGGAATCACCTGGCGGTTCAAGTAGAACGGAGTCGCCGCCGCCACATTGCAAATCTCGAGCCCCGTATGGTCCGATGCAAACTTGACCATGCTTTTCCGCAACACCATGTCCACATCCAGGGGAGTTGGCATGACGGATACGACGCCCTTGGCCCCGCCGTATCGAATCTGAAGCGCCGACGGCACGCACCCCACTCGCATGAACGTCGCCACTCTCTCCGCAAACGACGGGGACATGTACCCCACTCCGTCCGAGAACGTGTACCCGTGTCGTTCGATGTCGGCTTGGACGCGGACGCGATGCGCGGGCACGTCCAGCGTGGGCGTGGTGCTGCTGAATGCTTGGCCGATGCGCGCCCCCCGGCGACCGGGCACGGCGATCGCTTGGAAGCTGCCGAGCGACCGTCGGATCTCGTCCACCGACGGGATGCCCGCTTCGCCGTCGGTGGCCGACTTGAAAAACCAGCAGCTCTGGCTTCGCAATTGGCTGTTTGAGTACGCCAAAAAGTCAAATTGATCCCCCGACACATTCAATCCGGTGCGGACGAGTTGGCGAATGCGATCAAATACGTACGGCGACCGGTTCACGTTGAATATGGACGCAAAGTTCTCGTCCACAAACGTCACGCGAAGGAATCGGTCGACCAAGTGGCCGTACTGGCGCAGCACGCGGTTGGTTTGGTCGGCTTCGGGGGCTTCCGGCACGACGCGCAGGGGCGTGACCAGCACCCGTCGAATCGTGTGGCCCGTGGGGGTCGACGGGAGGGGGGTCGAAGGGTCCAGCAGCGCCAACAGCTTGTCGGCAATGCTTCGTCGAGGAAACACCCGCAGCGCCACAAGGTGGTGACTCAGGACAGCTGGGGGCACCTTGGACGTAGCGCATGCAGTGGCTACATGCGTGGCAAACGCAGCATCGAGGAAGTCAATCTTGCGCTGAACGACCAGCACATGGAGCGCGTAGCGGACGGTCCACGGCACGTTGGCAAAGCGGCGATCGTCTCCGCCACTCCACTTCCCCAACACCTGCTCTGGCGGGATGCCCGGCACCACTGGTTTGTGATACGTGCAATGCTTGGTGGCTTTGACGCCATATCGTTGAAGCGTGGTTGAAACGAGGGCGCGGGACATGGGCAACTCCACGGCGTAGGCAAAACACTGACCAAACACCGACGCGCCAGAGGGATCGGTGGACCGAACCCAGTCATCGTCGTCGTCCTTGAACAGATGCAGACCTACTTTTTGAAAGCACATTGGAGGGCGTCGTACATGAAACCACAGCGAACACCCGTCGTCGTCGGTGGCTGCAGCATGGACGCAACAGCGGACCACATCGCGCACCTACCCCCCATCATTCGCATGATCCATGAGGCAAAATGGCAAAATGGATAGGTAAAACCTTGAACTCGATTCGCCGCGACTTGGCGAATTCCATCGCCAACACATGCTTGCCGCGTTCGGTGATTTCCAATGCCATGTTGGACGACGTTGTCCAGTACGGACGAAATTCGTCTACATGTAGTAAGTGATCTTATGCAGGGTTCCGGTGTCCTACCTGACGCGTCTGGCAGAGTGCCAACGCTCATCGACGTGCCGTTCCATCGACTAAGTATAGGAACGCTCTTGCGGTCGATTTGGACTCGCATGGGGCGTGAGAAAAAGCGCACGTCGTTCAGTCCAAGAAGCTTGTCCATGTCGCTCGACGAGGCGACGGTGACTGTGGCGCGGCCCACGGACCGTCCGTTTTCTATTTTCACTTTGCACTTCGTGATGGAGAATATCCCGTTCGCTTCCAAAAACTGGTGCAGTCGCGTGCTCGTCACCTCAAATTTCAAGTTTGACACACACGCCGACAGAATTGGACTGCTGTGGGGGAGATGGCCGTTCATCTTGCGGTTGAGGTCTTCGTCGGCCTCGTCCTTGTACTGCTTCCGCGCGGCATTAAACTCGTCGCGGTTCATGGCACAGACTTGGGCTCCGAGAAAGTGGAATTCGAAATGTCCAAGAGATATTGGACAACCGATCCCCATTGGCCATTCTGAAATTCCTTGTCGCTGATTGGCGGATAGGGGCTTCCTAATCGCTTTCTGTAAACTGTAAACTGGTACTGTCAACGTACAGTACTAGTACCGGCTACTACTAATAGTAATATTAATAGTTATACTATTAGTAGTAGCCGGTACTAGTACTGTACGTTGACAGTACCAGTACCGGCTACTACACTAAATATAACTATTACTAGTATTATTAATACTAATACTCGTTATTAATACTATTACTACAATAATACTTCAAGTAAATACTTTCGAAGTATTATAATAAGCTTAACGTTAGTACTCCCAGAGTAAGTATTATACTCGTAGGAGTATACTACTACTACTGATTTCCCCCACTAATCGAAACGGGGAAAACTCGATTATAATAATAATAGTACTAATATACTGTACAGCTCTATTACACTCTGGAGTAACATACCGTACCGTACACAATAACTACCCTGACATTTTTCGTCCAGGGTAGTTCGAGAAAGGCCGAATTGTCCCCAGAATCAGATTACTTTTCAATAAAATTAAATATATTTAATTGAGTATACAAATGTCACGTTTAATATTTACATTATAGTATTTTTTATCCGCCTTAGTCAGACAGGGTAGTTATTCCGACCGGGAAGGCCCGCAGATAGTTGTTAAGTCCGGGTAGTTATTGTGTACGGTACGGTAATACAGTATCAAAACCTGACAGTTTACAGCTTAGTATTAGTAGACTTTTGTCAAAATATCATTGCCTTCAATCTATCTAAAATGAACGTGATCTTGTCTGAGTATATTAGCAGTCGTACTCGTATTCAAAAGGAACAGAAGGTGCAATACTGAAGTACTCCGGAGTACGCTGTAAGGTAACCTCTACGACCCACGGCTGTTGCTTGTGTTTCCACATGCGCGGCCCTCCAATGCACTATCGCCCAAGCGAGGCGATACCAAAATGATCGTCGTGGGCGACGACATCTCCTTCAGTCACGACCAATTCGAGGGACTGATCCGTCCGGCTCCAAATTCTTTGGCCGATGCTTTGTCTACGCGTTGGAAGAAGTCAATGTGGCGCCCGAGATAGTTGAGCGCACGCTTCGAAGGGTCGGCATCAAGGCGACCGACGCCGCGAACCCCATCACTTCCGTCGCACCAACCCCGTATGGCCCGAGGGGGCGACGGGAGGGGGGTCGAAGGGGCCCAACACCTTGTCGGCAATATTCGTCGAGGAAACACCCGCAGCGCCACGAGGTGGTGGCTCAGGTCTGCTGGGGGCACCTTGGACGTAGCGGACGGTCCACGGCACGCCTGCAAAGAGAAGATCGTCGCTGCCGCTCCATTTTCCCAAAGCACGGGTGCTGGTCACGCCCCTGCGCATCATGCCGGAAGCCCCCGAAGCCGACCAAACCAACCGCGTGTTGCGCCAGTACGGCTACTTGGTCAACCTCTCCAAAGTTCCCGAATTACGTGGAAAACCCGACCAAGGAAAGCTAAGTGTCGGAGGCGATCCTGGGCCAAATCTGCCGCCGCGCCATACAAGCACGTTTCCCAGCGACGAATCCCGATCGCACGTGAGGCCATGATGCGCGACTTGAGGTGCCAGGGCATGAAGCGTCCATGGATGACGCGGACGACGACCAGTGCTTTGCCTACTCGACCGAACTATGGGCCATCGCGTGCAAGTATCAGGTCAAGTCGGAAATTGAACTGATTTTGGGCATCGTTCAATGCTGGTCTCGGCAAATTTGCAAAGGGCACAAGTCGAGTGACGACTGGTGGGTTACAGTACTTATAGTCCGCGAGGGCATTGAGGGAACTTGTGCTCCCTCTTCAAAACTTATAACTAGATTACAGAGGCCACAATAAAATAAATTGCTGAGGCTATTGCGAACCTTGCGATATCTAATGAGTATAACATTTTACGAGTAATCAATCGATCGAGAGAAAATACTAATCATCCATGTCGCTGGAACTGGAGGCGCTTGATGACGAAACGTCGGTGCAGTTGTCGCTGTCGCTACCTTCGGGAGTATCCTCAGCTGTACGGAGAGCACGGTTGAGCTCAAGGAGCTTTGCCGTCGACGCTGCAATCGTGCATTGGATGACGTTGGAGTCTAGCTCAATGAACGCACGCTCGAGACGATCGCGAACGTCTTGAAAGGTCGTGGTCGAGGTGTACTGGCGTCCAACGGTGCCCTTGACGTTTGCCCAAACCATTTCGATTGGTTGCAACTCCGAAAATCCTGGTGCTGAGTAGACGACATGATGTCCACGGGCTTTGGCCATCTCGCAGACCACAGGAAGCACGTGCTCGTCCAAATGCTTCTTCAAACGCTTCCAAATGGTCGTCTTGAGATCGGTGGGTGAGACGTCGGTGATGTTCAGGCCAACGCACGCTTGGTAGAGGGCTTCCTTGCGCCACGTTCCCTTTGGGGTTGTCTTGGGCTTCCCCTTGTGGTACTTCGCGTTGTCCATAACGAACACGGCGGACGACCATCCCAGCTCCTCAACCTCATCGATCAACTTCCCAAACCAGTCGACAAAGTAGTCATGGTTAAACATCGAATGGTAGTCGTTGACGACTTTACCATTCTTCTTACCGCCTACGAAGATGTCCAGTCCCAAGAGGTGAGCCGTGTCGGAGCCGTCGTCCAGGATCGCCGCGACAAAGCAGTACCGTCTGCCCTTGTGCTTGGGCTTGGTAGCCTGGTCAGTTGGATCGTACAAGCTGTCAGCATGACTGGTGTAATGGTGATGGATGAAGCTTTCATCCAGGTAGACGACCGGTCTGCGCGGTGCGCTCGTGACAGTGGGCACCATCATCTCAACGTATGCGTCGCGGGCTTGTTCATGTGCCTTGGAGACACGGTACGTCTGCTTCGCGTTCGACCCACGAGCATACCCTTGTTTGGCGAGGAATACCTGGACAGCTCGCAAGCACGCTGCGTAGTCCTTGGGATGTTCTTCATCCACTGTCACAGATTGGTTGTCTTGAAGCAAGGCGAGGACGTCCTTGGCCACAGTCCTTGTACGTGTTACGCAGCGGTCACGGATAAAGCGCTTGACTAAAGCGCGCACAGCTCGGGTGTTGGGGACCCTGGACTGGTGATTCGTCGTGTTGGACGGCGGCAGCGAGACGGACACGTCTCCGGTGGCCAAGAACTCGGCCATGACGGCCTTCACAGTGCGGGCACCATGCCCAAGCAATCCAGCGACAACACCGCTGACGTCGGAGCAACCTTTCTCCCGAAGGGACGCTTGAAGCCAAAGAATGTCCAGCTTTTCATCGTAGGTCAAGCTGCGCCTACGGC